TCCCTATTTATCAACCCTTGTCCACCTTGAGTATTTTCTAAGAACAGCTCACATAAAGTCATGGCCTGCTACTTAAAGCAAAGAGGCCCCGAATGCTGAGAAGACTCTCCAAAGTTCACCCGATGAGAAGCAGGAAGGGATGGTGCACAATGGGCTGTTGCTTGTACCAGGTCTCCAGGGTGGTCCTGATGTCTTTCTTTGGAATCCTGCACTAAGGAAGTGTCAAGGAGGGAAAATAAGGTTAAATGAGAGTGGGAGAAAGCAAAGTAGTGATTGGATTATAAGATTACATCCTTTCTTGAGGGTGGTTAGGCATTCCAGTGGTAACTGGCATTGCAAAGGCGTATTAATCTAGATGTACAAGAACAATGGACAGGGCTGACTTAAAAACTTTTCACTAAAGAAGTTGTAGACCTAAGGAGTGGTTACCCACCATGACTTGTCCAGTTACAAATTTATGATTTATTACAGCATCCCCTTTTCGTCTACAGGGAAAACCTTTTTTATTCTCAACATTCCATTCTGTGCTCAGTACTTCACTTCTGATCAGATGTGGGGGTATCTGTCCCTGCTACATCAAGCAGTTTTCTTACAGCAGCTGGGTGCTCTACAATTCAGACACTATCTGGAGTTAGCATCAGATCCCACAGGTTAAGGGCTTAGTACCCCAAGACTACCCTTCCTCCCAAGAGTCCACTTTGTCACCTGTGCTTCTCACCAACTGGCTATAAATTGGAAGTTCCCATGACCCTTTCCTCAACTTTGATACTTTGCTAGGACAGCTTACAGAAAAAGAGTTTACTTACCAGAATACTAGTTTATTATAAAAGGATATAACTAAGGCACAGCCAGATAGAAAAGATGCATAGGGTAAGGTATGGGAGAAGGGGCCTGGAGCTTCCTTGCTCTCTCCTAAGTACTCTGCCTTCCAGCACCTCCATGTGTTCACCAGCTCTGTTCTCTGAACCCCGTACTTCAGAGATTTTTGTGAATTCTGTAGATATGATGGATTAATCATGGACTATTGGTGGTTGCACTCGAACCTCTAGTCCCTATTCCCTCTCTGGAGGTATGTGGTAGGTATGGCTGAAGGTGCCAATCTCTCTAATGATTTGGTCGGTTTTTCTGGAAATCAAACCCTTAGCCTTAAGGCCTTTTTACTATTTATGATTATGTATACCTACGGGACCTGGTCTTCCTAGGTGTCCTCCCATCAAAGTACTAACCAGGCCCGACCCTGCTTAGCTTCCGAGATCAGACATCGGGCTTGTTCAGGGTGGCATGGCTGTAGACCATGGACAGTGCCTCCACTGGGGCGCAAACCCAGGACATTCTGCGTGTAAGGCAGATGTCCTAACCACTACACTATGGAACCACAGTTTAGGACCTTTTCAAAAACCACCTCATTAACATAAAAGCAAGTGGGGTTGAAAGCTGCTTATTTTGAATAACAAAAGGCACTCTTTTCATCTTTATGGATCTTATTACTTAGGAAATTCCAAAGGTTTTAGGAGATCTGTGTCAGGACTGAAATCAAATATATATTTCTTATAAATCACAATATCACAGTAATATGTTATTCTAAGTCATTGGATTAAGAGCTCTGATCCCTGGATTCTAGTCCATTTACCAGTAGAACGATTTTAAACAAATCTCTTATTTCGGTCTGTTTCCTAATACATTGAATGAGTGAGCTGTTTTAAAACACTTTAAAAAGGAATATCTACTTTAAGCCCTTATTTCTGATTGTTCTTTCTTGCAAAGGTCTTTGTCTCTAATGTACCTTCCAATGACAAAATTACTGAATTGATTTATTGCATATGCAACACGTATACACTATGTACACTATCATATGTTTAATTAGAATCCTAGAACAGGTGACAAATAACAACCTATTGATAAACTTAGATTTCACTACTCACATCCTTAAGGTATTGCTCAATATGCACAATTTAAACATTATTTAGAGACTCATGATTTCCTTAAATATACCTACATCTTTCTTTATAATGATTTTATCTCTTGTAGACATACCAAATCAAATTATTTATTTTACATATTATATGTACTCTGTTACCATGTAATATATATCTGTATATATACATAATCCTATATATATTGCTACAGTTTTTGTGATCTTTGAAAAAGTCCTGCAAAATATTCTATGCATGACTATCAGGAAATTCCTATCAGCTCTAAATAGAGATAAACTATAACCCATGGGCACTTTTTACTTACCTTCCTTCTTAGGTACTTGGATAAATCATGGTCGGGGACTGGTCAAGGAATATAATAATCATTTAATTTGGACATATGATGCACCACATTTGGGCTACTGGATAGCAGCTCCACTTCCAGGAACTAGAGGTTTGTAAAAATGACACAAAAAATTTTTAAAATACAAATAATCATACTGGAATTGATATAAAGAGATCTGTTTTATTCTGAGCATCGCCACTTAACTGCTGTATGACACTAGAAAAATCTTCTAGTCTCTTAATCTCACCTTATTTTTTTCATGTGTATAAGAAAAGCTTAAGCTCCATGAACTCTAAGGTCTATTATACCTATAATGAATGTCTGAGGAATCTGTGAAGTATGAAGTTTGTTCAAATGAAATATTTTCTTAGTTTACTTTTTGTGAATAAATTCTACCCAGATCAGTTAGAGTTTTTGGTTGCAAGCAGCAGAAACAGATTTTGGATAATTAAAATAATGTTAGGATATAGGGAGTTCACAGGATCCTAGGGGTGGCTGAAGAACCAGATTCTAAAAGGCAAATATCCCAGAGGGTCCACCAGGCCTACTTGAGAGTCTTAAGATTACTGCTGCGTGGTGGCTGACTCTAACTCTTTGCAGTCTTTTCCTCACACTGTTCCTCATCATTCTAAGGATGAAGAATTTGGTTGGCCTAGGCTTGGGTCATGAGCACACTCCTTGGTTGGGGTTGTGGATGGTGGTGTGGAGGAAGGGCTGTTAAATGATAGTACCTCCAGACTGTTCTGAAAAGAAGATGAGTGATACCCCAAATGAAGACTGGCCTTACATATGAACAGAGTACACAAAACCAAGAACTGTCCACTAGGAATGATCTGTTCATATTCTAGGAAAAATGAATTTCATTTTTTTCTAGTTTTAACATGGTATCAAATTATATCATTTGTACCTAAGGAAATTCTATATTTATCTGGAATTGTGTAAATCTCTCAAAATACTCAAACATTGCATATTTTATCCATTTAATCTTAAAAGAAAAATCTTCTAACCTGCTGTAGTGTAGACTGGTTGCGCCATGGGCATGCTACCATTTTCTGGGCTTTTTGGGTGTTTGCTGGTATAAACTGAGTTGCTTCTTGGCTTTCCTTGCTGTCAGCTTTGCTAAGTTAACTTTCCATCCTTCAGCATCTTGTTGATCTTTTATCATCTGCCTTTAACCGTTGGGTTTGTATATTTATAAAAACAAAACGAAGCAAAATTTCTAGTGTAATTTTAGTGTAATTTTGGGAGAGTGTGAAAGTTGAATTTTAGTGAAATTTTGGGAGAGTGTGAAAGCATATGTCATTCCTTCATCTTTAATCATGTGTCAGAGATAATTCTTTTGGTTTTTCGAGTGGTGTGGCTCCCAACTGAGAGGCTGTTTCAGGTTGGTCAGGAATAGTCTCAGTGCACATGCTGGTGAGGATGTAGATGACATCTAACACCCATTGCTCTATAGTATTCTATCATCTAATTTTATTATAGCTGTCTATCAATAATTTGAAGGGTCTCAGAATTTTTTCTGAAAATGTTTTTTTAAAATAGTTTTTACATGACAGCCTTTGAATTTTAAACCATGCAAAGTAACATTTTTTTTTTTTCAATGAAGCCAAAATTTAGTATTCCAGTAAAGGAAATATGAGCCATTAACCATATGTGATCAAGAGGGATGTTCTCTTTGTTTCTATTTGAACTTAGTGCTTATGAGATTATTTATTCAGAACCAGAGGGTGGTTACTTTTGTTCTTCATGATGCAAAATATCAAGCAGTCTTGCCAGCTGTCTGGCTTTATCCCATTCTAGATTTGCAACTATAATGAAATACTGATGAAAAAGAATAATCAATATTTAATACTTTAACTCAACTAAATCCAAGTTATTTCATTTCTAATAAAAATAGCTTAAAGAGCATCTTCCACTAAACACATAACTGAAACAATTAATTTATTAAAATGACTTTATGAATTATAAAAGCTCAATAATTTTCTAAAGTAGGTTAAAGATTTGGTTCAGCTTATATGTTGGAAAAGATTTTGTATGAATCAGAGTACTAAAATAGAAGTGTGGGATTCCCATTTAGTTTGAATTAGATACCTTCTAGTGATGTTTTTATTCTGCAAGCATATCATAATCTAAGGAACACTACTTGATTGTATCCCTGGCTTTGCCAGTAACTGAGTTTGAAACAGATACTTACCCATCTGAGTATTAGTTTTTCTTGTTTCTAAATTGTAGGAGTTGGATATGATGATCCCTAATGTCCCAAAACATTTTAGGATGTGGGTGTTATAAAATCAAAATTGATCCTATAATGGGCTACTTACTGCGCTAGAGCTACTTTAGTTGTAATTTGGTTAATATATCTTTTAAAAAATAAATCTTAAATAGAATTCTAGAGTTCCTTGAAAGCAATATTAAGTGCAGGAAGTTAGTTTTTCATAGATTGTTCTAGGTAAGTATACAGCTGAGTATAGGCTTTAATAAACAAGTACTTATTAATGGTTTTAAACATGTGTTTCAATCAACTTCAATGAAAATGTATTGTAATTTTCTACCTTTTTAACTCCTTGTATGCATACACACATATATGCAGATGCATAAGTTTTTGCTGTTGTCATACATACAGGATTTGGGGCAAACTTAACAGTATCAACTTCCTATTTCCAAAAGTGAGTTTCATTGAAATCTTGTAGATTGAGAATTATTAGCATCACTCTATTGTGGAAACATATACTCTCACATTCTTAGAAGTTGAATTTCCTAGTTATAATCAAACTTTCTTGCAACTCTGAAACCTGATAAGAATCTGCAGATAAAATCGTTACTCTTATTTTGTGTGTGTGTGAAGAAATGTATTGTGTAATACTGTACTTAGTCACCTATTAGATATCATAAACACCTTATTATTTGTTACCATATATGAAAGTATGGCCAATACTAGAGTCCCTATTCTTATGTGACCTTGACATTTAACAACAGTATACTGTAGCTAGCACTTACGGAATGCTTTTGTGCTAAGCACTGTTCTAAATGTTTTGTAAGTATTACTTCATTTAATTCTTGTAAAAACCCATATGGGTTAAGTATGACAGATATGGACTGAGACACAAAGAAATGAAACTTGCCCAAGACCACACAGAACCAAACGGTGAGGCCAGGATTCTATTTCAGGTACTTACCCTGGCTTCAAAGTCTATCTGCATATCAACAATACTCCTCCAAATCCTTTAATATTACTGTTACTTTAAATTTTGCATCATTTAATTGAATAAAAGTAAAGTATAAATCTAAAGACTTTGTGGCCCTCAGTCTATTCTAGTGTCCTTAGTGAAAGTGAGAGCTTCATTCTGGATGTTTTCTCGTGCTGGAGATCACCAGAAAACCAGTTGTCTCAGCACTCTCACCACCTTGTCACCCTGACTGCATATTATAATCTAGTTGATACTGATCAGTAGATGTTATATCCATTCTTGAACAAAATGAAGTCTTAATGATACTGAAACATTACCTCAAGATTAGTTGCCCAATAACATTAATTTTCACACAGAGTCTTAATAGTTTGTACTTGTCATTTTAGTGTATTAATCAGCTTTTACTGCACAACAGCACTGTATCTATGTGCTCTCTCATAAGGGAAGATGGGTTATCTGTGCCTCTGCTGGGCTTAGCTATTGGGATCATAGCATCTCATTCCAGAGCCCAGGCTGAAGAAGTTGCAAGTTTTAACTCTTCCAGTCCCAGAATTTTTGGATTCTCTCTAGTCTAAAAAAAATTTGGCAAATTCTTTTTAGAATTTATCTTTACAATTTTTTAAATTTTATGCAGCTAGTAATGGTCCACACTCACTATTGATACTCTATCTCAAAATCTCTTTGCACAAAGCTCAAATTAATTAGAAATATTTTGCTTCTATGTAACTTGGGTCACCAGTTTTACTGCCTACTGGAACAATTTTCTCACTGCTGCTGCTTGGCCTAGAAGCCAGTGTCACATATTTTAGGGTTTTGTTATAGCAGCATTTCAGAATCTTGGTACCAATGTTTATAATAGTCAGCCATTGCTACAGTAACAAATAAACCTGTCATCTCAGTGGCTAACAATAGCAAACATTTATTTGTTGCTTACATTTCATGACTGGTGGGCTTGGCTTGGTTCATTTCAGCATTTTTTTCTCATTCCAGAAGCTAGGTGAAGGAATAGCAACTCTCTGGGCTATACTATTCACATAGTAGAGGACCTTAGCAAGAGAGCAGGGCCATTTCATGAAGCCTCATTTCAGTGGGCAGAGCAAGTCAGTTGATTAAGCTCAAAGGGTAGAGAAGGGTATTCTCTACCCTTCTCTCCATCCATAAGGAAGCCTGCAATGAGAGGGGAGCAAACAAATACAAATGTGTACATATATTCAATATGCCTCACCCAAGATAGGACAGAGTTGAATATTAGATCTTAAATTATATATTTTCTCAAGATATATGCACCCTCTGTTCATTGCAGCATTCTTTACAGTAGCCAAGATATGGAAGCAAGCTAGGTGTCCTTTGATAGATAACTGGATAAAGATGTGGTATATATATATATATATACATATATATATATACACACACACACACACACACATATATATATATATAATGGAATATATTATGCAGCAATGAAAAATGAAATTTTGCCATTTGTGACAATACAGATGGATCTAGTGGGTATTATGCTAAGTGACATAAGTCAGGCAAAAAAAGACAAATACAGTATGGTTCAATTATATGTGGAATCTAAAAACAAAATGAAATCAGACTCTTAGAAATAGAGATCTAAAGGATGGTTACCAGAACAAAGAGGGGTAATGGATGGAAAGGGGAATATAGTAAATATTGTGATAAGTTTGCATGGTGACAGATGATTACTAGAATTGGTGGAGTGATAACACTGTAAGGTTATAAGATATAAGAATATCAAATCACTATATGTACTCCTAAAACTAATATAACCAATATAAGATTATACACCAACTATACTTATCTAAATTCAAAAAGAAAAAAGTATTTTTTCTCTTTGTTTTGTTTATATTGAACTATTTAGGTTCAGGTATAAATGGAGACTCAAAGGACATAACCGCCTACCACACAGTGTTTCTTACAGCCATATTAGGAGGAACAATAGTCATTGTCATTGGATTTTTTACTGTGCTTCTTTGTTACTGCAGGTAAGATAATATTAATCAATGTGTGTAAACCCTGAAAACTGTCAAATTATAGTATCGTATCATTATGTTCTGTGTATTACAAATTTATTTGTAGAAACAACAGTTTGATCTTTAAAATATGTAGATTAAAATAAAAAGGGATATATTCCAACAGCATTGCCTATATAATGCACATATTGTGGGATGATATTTTTAAATGAACCTTCTAGATTATAAGCTTTAAACATTTTTTTTTTTTTTGCCTTCTCTTTTACTCTAGGGATAAGTGTGGTACTCCACAGAAAAGAGAAAGAAATATCACTAAACTTGAGGTCCTCAAAAGAGACCAGACAACTTCAACAACACACATAAATCACATTAGTTCAGTCAAAGTTGCATTAAAGGCTGAAGACAAGTCACAGTTATTCAATGCCAAAAACACTTCCTATAGCCCTCAAAAGAAGGAATTATCAAAGGCAGAAGCAGAAGAAAGAGTTTCCATGGTAAAAACTCGGGACAATTTTAAAATCTACAATGAAGAGATTTCATTTCTGTCAACCAATCAAAATAATTACTCAAGAAACCCACCACAGTCCTTGGAGTCCAATGTAGGGTCCAAGCAACCTAAACATATTAACAATCTATCTTCGTCTCTAGGTGATGCTCAAGAGGAAAAGAGGTATCTCACAGGTAATGAAGAGGTATATGGACATTCTCACATTCCTGAACAGCTTATGCATATCTACAGCCAGCCCATCGCCATCCTTCAAACATCTGACCTTTTCTCCACTCCAGAGCAGTTACACACTGCTAAGTCGGCTACTTTGCCAAGAAAGGGACAGTTAGTCTATGGCCAATTGATGGAACCAGTAAATAGAGAGAACTTCACACAGACATTGCCCAAAATGCCAATGCATTCTCACGCACAGCCCCCAGATGCCAGGGAAGAGAATATCCCACTCGAAGGTCAACAGAGCTTGCCGTCCCAAACTTCAGATTGGAGCCGGTATTCAAACAGCTTACTAGAATCTGTTTCTGTTCCTGGAACACTAAATGAAGCTGTTGTAATGACCCCCTTTTCATCAGAGCTTCAAGGAATTTCAGAACAGACCCTCCTGGAGCTGTCCAAGGGAAAGCCCTCCCCTCATCCCAGAGCCTGGTTTGTGTCTCTTGATGGAAAGCCAGTTGCACAAGTGAGGCATTCCTTTATAGACCTGAAAAAGGGCAAGAGAACCCAGAGCAATGACACGAGTCTGGACTCTGGGGTGGACATGAATGAGCATCACTCAAGTAGAAAACTCGAGAGGGAGAAAACTTTCATCAAAAGCATGCATCAGCCTAAGATTCTTTACTTAGAAGATTTAGACCTGAGCAGTAGTGAGAGTGGAACCACTGTTTGTTCCCCCGAGGACCCAGCTTTAAGGCACATTCTAGATGGCGGGAGTGGCGCTATCATGGAGCACCCTGGGGAAGAGTCCCCAGGAAGAAAAAGCACTGGTGAAGATTTTGAAGCCAATACGTCCCCTACCAAAAAAAGGGGCAGACCACCACTAGCCAAAAGAGATAGCAAAACTAATATCTGGAAGAAGCGAGAGGAACGCCCACTGATCCCTATAAATTAACACTAAGGATAGTTACGTCTTTGCTGTCTCTTGCAGTTTATTCTTGCTTCTTGTAAATTGCAGTACGGACTTCTTAAGAAGGTGAGACTGAGCAATCTCATGGCCCCTGGACATGTCTCAAGCAGAGTAAATAATAAAATGGTAATTCAGTAATGAGAAAGATACTAAGGATACTTTTTCTGACCTGTTGTTTATTTTTAGGTGATGAATTTGAAGTATCCAAAAGTTCAAAATGTAAAATAGCTTCAAGATGTTAGTTATCTGAAAATGTTGCTCAGTCAGCCAATTTGGCCTTCTCTTAAGAATCACATTGTTAAAACTGAACTCCTACATTTGCCTCCAAAAATGTTGCCTCTGCTTTGATGAAACATTTAGAAATGAGGCATATTTTTGTGAAATGATACTATTATGTTCTCCACTGCCGGTACTCGAAAATAACTTGATAAATGTCCTGGATTGATGTAATTCTAGAGTTTAAAGGCCAAACAACTTTTTTTTTTCTGTAATAAACAGCATGTGTATTGTATCAACCCCAAATTAAATCACATAAGATGGGCAAGAAGCTACTTCGTTGTTAGAGGGAAACTCCAGCAATTTGATTGTTTTGAGATATAACTTTACAGAGTAAATGGTAAGGTGTTAATTTGTTATTTAGGAATCTGAAAAATAAATGATACTGAATTTTTATTTTGATTTTTTTTTCTCCTTCCTCAAAAGTGACATGAGCTTAGCATCAAGGAAAATTCAAAATATCTGAAAAAACTCACCCATATCTCTCGTTAAGACCCACTGATACATGTAAGCTAAAATCAATTTTAAGATATTTCTTCTATTAAAAAAATCCTGGCACTTAAATGCTATTAGACTTGATTTTAAAAAATCAGTGAGTTGAAAGCTTCTTATGAACACTAAAAAATTAACAAAATATATAGAGCTAAAGGAAATAAACATTTCAATTTTTTTTTCTGAAATGTCATTGAGCTAAAAAATAAATGTCAATTCCCTGAGACTCAAAAATACCTTCAGGATGTTAGTTATATCTACAAATTTTTTCCCCATAAAGTCTTTTAACAGTTGTAAAAGATATTTAAGAAAAACAGTTTCAATTTCATGGGAAAAGTAAGTTATTTTCTTAAATCACTTACAGGCTTTACCCCCCACCCCCCAAGTTTTGCAAGTAATGTAGTCATATCATTTTCATAGCAAAAAAATCAGTGTGAACACATTCAACAGTTGTTTTTAATTTTAAGTGTCTTCAACCCTGAATTATCATTCATATGTCCTAAAAATAAAGCTCTTTGTTAATTGAAATCGATTCATCCCATTTTTCTTAAAATTTCCATGAAGGCAAATGTCTGAAGCAGCTTCCCCTTTTCCAAGGGAGAAAAATGAAACTAAATTGCTTTATTTCTCATCCCCTACTAATCAATATGGGAACACATAAACAAGTTGAAATAAACAATTAGCTATGTTAGCTTTAGTCAAATTATAGAGGGATGTATAAGAGACAACATTTTTCCCAAGATAGTAGACTTCAGCCATTTTTTTTTCCTGTAACCCCTTCCGAAGCATATAATATCAGATAACACTGCTACCCTTATGTATTAACCCAAAGAACTTAAAGACCAAGGCAAAAGTTTGTTATATTTTACTCCAGTCTATAGAAGAGATAAATGTTTTGGATAATACCTAGGTTTACTTTCTTTGCAGGCGGAGGATAACTGATAAGGCCCAAAATTAGAGGAGGCTTCTTATTGGTCTTATACAGAAAGATGCATTAGAAGAGGCATAAATGAAAATGACTTGGAAAATGTTAAGGAGTTAGTGCTCTGCTGAAGTGCCTTTGATATAGACTTGCTTTGTTAGAAGGATATGACAACATCTTTCTTAAATGTGCATTTTCTTTCTGTTAGCCAAATTAAGCAGATGTGCAGTTTTTATTAAAAATATAGACTTAGTGTTTCATGTTGGAACAATGAATTTTGCATGCAAGTTACATTTATCTCTTTTTTGAATCCAGTGTATATTGATGTATTATGTTGGAATGAAGTTAGAAACTATACAGCAAAATGTACTTCTTCAATATTTCAAGTGTATATTTCTCTCACCTTTAAGTAAAAATGTGTCATCTCTGCTTAGTAATGGAATGCACATGTTGAAATAAGGGGATACCATTCAGGTATGCCACTTACTCATTCTTGTGTAAAAGAAATGAGAGGCTGTATCCCAAGGGCTTTTCTAGAATACATTTTTGGGTTTCAGAATAACACCTTATTTTTTATACACTGCACATTCTGTTCTCAATTGGGAGGTATAGGCAATTTATCTTTTCTAATGATTAAAAATGTGTAATTTCTCATTTGTGAGTTCACAAATTTCCTGTTAAAAAGCTGAAGCCATCAATTTTTTCTTAAGTGATAATGAACCTACAATATTCACAGCTTTCTTAAATTTTTAAATTGAAAACCAGCCCAGTTTTTTGCAAATGTAAACCTAGAGAATTTTGGTCGCAAATTATTAACATTTGTGGATCCTTTGTATATACTTTGGATATATCTTAAAAGCAAAATTATCCCTCAATTAACTGCTGGATTCATTTACTAAAGCACAGCTATATGCATTTTTGAATACATATTAAGATCTTGAGACTTTATAAAATCCATTTTTATGACATTTATGCAGGTGTATAGGGATTACACCCTTTTATAATGCACAGTATACCATGAAAGTCACAAAGGTTGAGGAATAAAAGCACTTCTTTGCTTTGGCAATCATTTTCAGATCACTTTCTCTGTGTTTGAATCCTCTGGTATCAATGCATATTAGAGAGTTTTAGGCATCTGTGGGTCAAATAATGTCCCTCAAAACTTCCCAGAAAGGTGAAGCTCAAAGTTACATATTAATTTATAGAGAATGAGTTGCATTTCCTCATGTACTATCTTTGTAAAGAACTTGACCATGTTAATTTCCATCTCAGACCTAGAGTTGACATTTTGCCCTCTTGTTTCCAAGTGTTTCTGTCTTTTGTATTGTTTCATCAGAGGAATCTCAAATTTCAGTGTATATTTATTGTCATTACTACATTTACTGCTGAAACTGTAACAATCTGAAGATTTGTAAAATGTTAAACATAGTTCATTAAAGATAATAAAAATAAATCAAACTGTATTTGATGCATTGTTTAATTTTGATAGTAGTCCTCTCTAAATTCTCATTTAATCCAGTAAATATTACTTTTTTCCTTACTATACTCTCTACAGTAAATTAAACATTATATGTTTGAATAGGCTTTGTTTTAATAATGAACTTGATCCCTCTTTGTGCATCATGTTCTCCAAAATTCACATTTTTACTATTTATTAAAGCCGAGTATAGACAAATTATTTTTCTTCCCATGAGAATACTCATAGACTGTGAAATAAATTGCAATTCTTAAAATACCTAAGTGAGAAAATGATACAATATCTCCTTCTCACCTTTAAAAAATTCTTTGGACTTTGAACCTGAGACTAAATAATAACAAAACCTGTTTACATTTAAAATGATAGATCTTCAAGTACCCTTCTGCTCCATGAATTGGACAATACTTAAGTTCAGGCAATTTGTATTTTGAGCTTTAGAAAATCTTTAGAACTATAATCCTGGCTGCCAAGGTTTTAGATATTTTGTATAACAAATTTAAATGGTACTAGAAATACCTTTGGTCAGTTCTAAAGAGAATTGGGCTCTGCATCTACTCACAAATACAGTGGGAATTCTAATCCCCAATACTGACTCATTGAACTAGACACTTCCATTTGGATCTCTACTGAGTACAAATCAGGTTGTGGCTGCCTTTGTTTCAGGGCCTGATCTCCATATAGGAGAGTCTAGAGTCTTAACAGAAATGATGCAGCCTCTGGAAGACTCATGCTGGACCCAAATTCACATGGAACTAGTAATAGAAAATATTTCATAAATCACAATCAGAAACTTAGCTGCCAAACAGATGATATTCATGAGCTAGTCATCACATTCTCATCTCAGAATGGAAGTATGAGAAGACTGATATGTTAAGAACTATAAGGTAGTTGGATGGAGTTAGGAGATATTTTAATAAGTTTATCAACAGTGATTTACCTATCAGTACTTGATAATTGTGACAGCTAATCAGGAACCCTTCCCTTGAACTACATGTTAAAAAATTGTTAAACTATACCACAGTGTTTCTTTATTTAGACTTCATAAAATCACCTTTTGGCTTTTTTATATAAGTACACTGTATACAAATATACAGTAAGACAGCTTAATTCCATCAGTAAATTCTAAGTCAACTGTGGGATTAAGAAATCTGTCTTAATGTCTTAGATTTGCATTTGTTTGCTCCATCAAAATAAATGTTATTTCCTTGACTTTTTAAATTTGAGCCTCTGTTTGAGACTATGGACTTATGTTCATTGAGTTAAATATTTTTTATAAAAATAGTTTCAGATTTTGACTAGAGAAAAATAATCTAGAAATCAAATGTAATTTATGTCAAATACCAAAATTAATAAACTCAATTACAAATGATGGGAAAACATTTTCATTAAATTTAAATAGCAAGTTTCTTAGGGAAAAATTGTGATAACTTTTCTTTCTAAAATAGCTAAGCTTAAAGATCACATCTACAAAACATTGTAGAAATACTTTTCTCCGCTTTGCTATAGTAAATGAATATCTTCCTATTTCTATTGGAAAAGCTCATATGTTGAAAAGTACATGTTTTTTTTTTTTTTCTTTTGTTAACAAAAACCTTCCCGGTTGAACCCTGTATTTCCTGGTTTTAAAACCTGTACTTGCTATTGTCAAATAATATTCCACAGTCCTATAGGGATATCCTAATTTTCCACATGATTTCGGTCTTTTTTTCCCCTTCAGATTGACTAGAAGTTTCATAATTCAAGTGTTGACTGGTTCTAATCCTTGTAGACCTTATTAAAACACTAGACTAACCACAGACAGTCTGATTCAAAACAAACCAGATAAATACATTCCCAGGAGTCTCGGGGCTTATTACACTTGAACGGCTTAGTTAAAAACCTTTCCTAAATACTATATTGAATAGCATAATTGTGGCCATTAAGCAACATGGAGTAGATATCTTAAAATAATTTTTATTTTATATATCCCCATATTTCAGTCTAGAAAATTAGTTTTACAAAGAAAGTGTTTTTCGAAGTAAATTTAATCAGCTTAATAAATTTATCTCAAATACCTAGCAGTCTGTAATACTATTTTGAAAATTTCATTTCTAATTTAGATAACTTTTGAAAGGTTTTTGACTATTAAATACATAAATGTTTATTAATTTGCAGATATTTTATTCTTAACATTTTAATTCAGTGTTTATTACTGATTATTGGAGTAACTGGGTGATCGGAGGAAGGTATGAGAGGAGACCTGTCATTTTCTTTTGGACATTTCAAATTATAAAGATTGATGGGACATCTTGAATCATTCTTAGGTTAGCTATTATGATAACCTCAGATGTTAGAGCTGATGCAGGCAGTAGAGATTTGGGGGAATTCCAAATTGTTGTTTGAAGCTACAGGTGAAGGTGAGATGATCTGAAGAATATGTAGGATGAGGAAAGATTTCCATTGATGTCATTAAATTATTTGTGTAATAAATAACTTAAAATATAAGTAAAATATCAATTCTATTTGAGTATCAAGTTTTACGAATAAGCTGATATACATATTTAAATTGAAAGAAGAAAAGGGTAACTTCAGTGTCTCCTTTTAAATTTTATAAATATGATTTTCTCTTACAACTCAGGTATAAATTCAATTTTTGTAAGTAGAATCTTATTCTAAAATAAATGGTAAACAATTTTTATATGAATTTCTTTCTCATTACTGAATTATTTTTCCTGTATTGCATTTTCACAACATAGATTTTCAATAACTATTTGACAAATGGGAGCAAAAGTCAGAAGACTTGAGTTTAAATTATGGCACTTCGCATTTCTAGTAAACTTTCATTTCCTCGTGTTATATGGGTCTGATAATGGTCATAATACCTCCCTTACATGGCCAGTGTAAAACTTAAGGTGATATAAAGAAAAGCACAGGCTAGGTAAATATTATTGTTCTATGACACTACATTTGATGAAGTTAATTAAATCACAAGGGGTCATTTTTGTGAGTTAACTTTGTTAACCAATGGGATTATCTCCAATCAAGAGCTGATTATTAAATCACAAGGGGTCGTTTTTGTGAGTTGACTTTGTTAACCAATGGGATTATCTCCAATCAAGAGCTGATTATTAAATCACAAGGGGTCATTTTTGTGAGTTGACTTTGTTAACCAATGGGATTATCTCCAATTAAGAGCTGATTATTATCACTGCAAACTATATCATTGATAGTCAAGTATCAAAGTGTAGCCTCCAGATGTCAGTTATCCTCATAGCCACTATTGTTGTGCTTTTTCATTAGGACCATTAGGTACTGGTGAAAGAAGAGCATCTCTACAATTGCTCAACTGCTCAACTGCTCAACTGCTCTCAAGCATACAATGCTCCCATACTTTATATTAAGTCATATATAACTCAACAACTGCTCTCTAGAATGATTTAGCAACAATTTTTGAAGAGGCATGTAGAAGTTTTTTATGGGCCTGTTATCCAGTGATTTATGAAAGGAAAACTAGGTTATTTTAAACATCCTCCTAGTAGATTTGTTTTTCTAAATTTTTATTAATCTAAGGTATAAGTTATACAATTTCAAATATTTAATTATACATTTTCCTTCAGGAAAAAAAAAACATTTCTAGAAAACTTTAATGTTTTTCTTAATCTCTTCACTGATATTTTGAACGTATTCTAAAACTTGTAAGAGAACTGACCAAAATTTGACTAAGAGGTTTTCTATTGTCTGAAAACTCAGGTCCATAGGACAAGAACAGAAGCGTGTGTTTTAAGTCTGGAGAATCCTCAGTTATCAGGGCAGCCATCTCTTGGAAGGGTTTGATGAGAGCAGAATTGGTATTAGTCTCCAGTCCAAGCCCAACTCCATCTTATTAAAGTAAGAAGATGACTAGGAAGTATATAAGTGCCCTACCTGGGAAAAGCGTTTATGAAGGGAGCTATCCCCTCACCTCACCTCCTGTGGTGGTGGTATAGGGAGCATTTTTACTAGTACTCCTCCCAGAAGTTTGGGTTGGGGGATAAGAGGGTCACTGGTAAAGTTTGGGGCATTTGTAATGATGGGACTCAGACATCTCTTTCCATGGTAGGACTGCTGCATGTGGGCAGAAAGGACTGGGGGAAATGGTGGTGAGATGCCACCAGGTGAGCTGGGTATAAAAATTGCTCCTTTAGCAGTGAGGCCTAGAATTTATAGGCTAAAAGAAACTTCAGAAATCTTAAAAGGAAATGTGGGTGAGAATGTCAGGGGCTCACTCTAGACCACAAAGCCAATTCGAAGCTGAAATCTGACAGGAATCAAATTTCCTGAGTTCCAGTCTAGTTTATTCTTTTTTTTTTTTTCTTTTTGCTCACTTATTTGAACTCTTTCTCTTTTGATCTTTTAATCCAGAGATTATGTAATCTTTGGTTGATTACAGCTAGAAAATATTTTCTAAAGTCTATAACAGTAAAACATTGTTCTAAAAAAGGAGTGGCACTAGCTTATATTTATAGAGCTATGCTTATAGATAATTTCATGCTTATCATCTGTGAAAAGTTGGCCTAAGTGGAGTCATTTTAAAATGAAGTCAAGGCAACCATTCCAGAGGAATTGCACTTGCACTGCACATCTTACTCCCTGAACTTTTGGAATGTTGGAAGCGGGCAAAATAACCCTTGGACTTGGCTAGAACAGCATTGTCTTCTAAACAACTGTTTGTAAAGCTAACAGGAAAGCAGACCTTCTGACTACAGGAATGAAAATTAAAGACATTCTTTAGAATTAGCACCACCACATACAGCTAAAGAATAACTTTGCTTATTAGTACCTATACAAATTCCTTCCTTGGCTGATTAGCACCTATAATAATTCCTTCCTTCTATTCTGAATTATTTTCTTTCCCTTTCTCATAAAACCCCCTTGCCTTCTCTCCATGATTAGAACACTATTTGGGTTTATGTCCGAATGGGTATTTTCCAAATAGCTATTCTTTAGTCTCAAATAAATGCTTGTTGC